ATTTTCTTTCTTTTCCTTTTTCACTCTGACAGTCTTGCTCTGTTGCCCAGGCTGGAGTGCAGTGGCGTGATCATGTCTCACAGCAGCCTCGACCTCACAACTTCAAGTGATCCTCTTGCCCCAGCCTCCTGAGTAGCAGGTGCACACCGCTATGCCCAGCCAGTTATGTTCTGGATGCTTTTTTATATGGCCTATATTCATGTGTCTTTGTGACTTTTTGAAGTAGGAGTTGGCCTGAAACAAGCCCAGAGAGGTAGACAGGGACCAAGTCGTGGACTGAGTTGGTTGTTGCTATTCCTCACTGTGTATTTTTATTTCTCCTCTTTCTGGACACATAGCATGTACCTTCTAGAAGCTAGGCCCAGCCACGTGACTTTGTCAAGGAAATGGGAGCAGAAGCAGCATCCGTCACTATTAAGTAGAAGTCTTTGAGATGCCACGTGCAGCTCACCACATTGCCTTCCACATGCCATGGAGGCTGTCCATGTTACAGACAACAGAGGCTCCGTCTACCTGGGCCCTGACTGGCCACGGTGAGCTGGGCCCACTGACCTACAATGAGTGTGAAGTGTGAGCAAGTCATAATTCTGGGTTGTTGTAAGTAATGGAGATTTGGGGGTTGTTCCTTACTGAAGCACATCCTGATGGATTTAGAGGATCTTGTGAGCCATGCTAAGGAATTCAGACCGTATCTTACTGGCCACTGTGACATACTAAAGGGTTTATATTGCCGATGAAGACAGCAGGTTCTGACCGAACAAATCCTGAACTTTTGATGTTCTAGATGGCAAGTGCTAATTCTAACACTTGTTAATGAAAGTCATGGTTTGCTTGGTGGTGATGACACAGTTCTGTGTCTTGAATGTGGTGATGGTTATATGAATCCATACATGTGATAACATGTCTTAGAATTATGCACAAAGGTGCAGCAAACAAATGCATCTCAACTTGTATTAGTTCGTTCTCACACTGCTACGTAAACATACCTGAGACTGTGTAATTTATAAAGAAAACAGGTTTAATTGGCTCATTGTTCTGTGTTCATGTTCTGCTCCTGGATAGGCCTCAGGAAACTTCCAATCATGACAGAAGGCGAAGAGGAAGCAGGCACATCTTAGCGGGAGTGGGAGAACAAGTAGGGGAAGGTGATCCACTCTTTTAAACAAGCGGATCTTAGGCAAACTTGATGACAAGACAGCATGGGAAGGGGGTGGGAGGGATGACACTAAACTGTTTCTAACCAGTCCCATGATCCGGTCACCTCCCACCAGGCCCACCTCCAATATTGGGGATTACAATTTAACATGAGATTTGGGTAGGGACACGGAGCCAAACCACATCAGGTGACATCCCAATAATGACTGTGGTCTAGTAAATTACGTTGTGCTGATGTTGATTTTCAGGTTTTGCCAATGCATTGTGTGTATGTAAGATGTATATATGGGGGAAGCTGGATGATGGGTGTAGGGGTGTTCTCTGTACCAGTTTGGTCATGTTTTGTGAATTTATAATTAGTTTCAAATAAAAGTTAACAACAAAAAGATCATGAGTTAAACCAAGAAAGTGAATTGTTGTCAGTTGCAGATTCACTGCCAGACCTGGCAAGAAATCTCACCTTGGCAGATCGAGTCTCTTGTCCTCGCCTAACAGCAGTTCACCCCTCAAAAATGGGTCCCGTTTGTAATCTGTCAGCCACTACCTTCTTATTTAGAGCATGTCCCACTACAAAGATTTCGATAAAGCTACTTAGTTTGTTAGACAATCGGAAGTGCAAACCCCCAACACACCCATAAACACATACACACACCCTAATTTAAAAGCTGCATTTTCCATCCCCTGGACTTGCTGTATTGCCTCCAGTTTCTCTCCATTTCTCAGGATTGGTAGCAGAAATGGGAAACCTGATACCTAAGGTAAGAGAATTACCGGAATAACAGTGCGTGGACTTGAGTCACTATCCCCAGGAGCCTAGTAACCCACAGCTTGTGGATTAGTCTGTTGAACTACTTGATGGCTTGTGACCCCCTTTTCCCTTAGAGGCATATGTTATGATTTTCTTCTTATTGGTAGTGGCAGCTCTGTGCTTTATTTTGAAGGGAAGCGGGAGAACAAAAAGGAAACTTAGCAGTTGTAAGTTACTTATAGGGAAGACTGTATGGGCTAGTTGGCTGTGCTATCATTTTTGTTGAAATACTGCTGTGGGGTCACCATCTGGGAATGTTCTTCCTGTTTTATGGGGGAAATACAGACATGCATTTTTATAATCTGTAGCCTGCATATCCCTTGGGGTTTTCCCTGGGGGCTTGGCTGAGCAGAACCATTTCTTTACCACCCCCTCCACAACATAATGAATGGCTGCCTTTCCTCTTGTGATACATTCACATTTCTGTAAGATTCTGCACGTGGCAGTGAGTGTCATGCTCCAAGTAAAAGGAGGCGGGGACCAGAGGACAGAGGATGAGGATGAAAGGTTACTTTGTTTGCTGACTTTGAATGTCAGCTAGTTGTGTTTATGATACCCCTCATCTTGGTGGGGGGTATTGCCACATTTTACACTTCGAAAAAATGTTTAATCATCAGAAAAATATGAGTTACTCAGACAGCTTGTGGGGTTCAGCTCCTTATTTGGGGCTCACACCTTCCACAGGGTGTGACTTCACTCAAGGGCTTTCACTCTTCTTGGTGGCGGTTTGCCTCTTTATAGAAGGAGGGACGTGTCCTCACCTTACAGCAGACCCTCCAGCTCTATTATTCCCTGAACTTACGAAACCAGCAACCCCTGTGTTGGCATTTTCCCCTTTTCCTAGATCAGGTTCATGTTTCTCCTCCTCTTTCCAAAATCTACACATTTGGGCGTCTGCCACTGTTCCCCAACACCAGGAATTTAAATCTGTGTTGGCCAATTTGCTTCTGCCACTGATGTGCTGTTGGGGTTTGGGGACATAATTTAATCACTTTCTACCACCTTTACTTGAAACTGGGCTTTTTGCCGGGTGTGGTGGCTCACTCCTGTAATCCCAGCATTTTGGGAGGCCGGGGTGGGTGGATCAGGAGGTTAAGGGATTGAGACCATCCTGGTCAACATGGTGAAACTGCATCTCTACTAAAAATATAAAAGTTAGCTGCATGTAGTGGCGTGCATCTGTAGTCCCAGCTACTGGGGAGGCTGAGGCAGGAGAATCACTTGAACCCAGGAGGGGGAGGTGGCAGTGAGCCAAGATCACGCCACTACACTCCAGCCTGGGCAACAGAGTGAGAGCCCATCTCAAAAAAAAAAAAAAAAACAACAACAAAACAAAAAAACAAGAAAAACAACAACAGGGCTTTGTTAGCAGGCATGACTTGGATTCTTCAGGATCCCTACCTCAGTAATCTGGTCTGATGTGGCCTTCAGGGGGGATCTTTGGACATCATTGCCATCTGTCTATCCACTGTGCTGGACTAAAGCGCACACAGACTGCCATTTCTTGCCGAGTGGCATCAGGGCAAGACTTTGGCACAAGAGATGTCTTCTCTGCTAGTTAAATTAATTAGACAGCTTCTCTTCCAGACAGGATGTTAGGTGCTTATGAACGTGTGATCTGCTCCTAGGTTTGTAAGGATAGTAATAGTCATCTTTTACAGATAAGGAAACTGAGACTCAGCACTGTGAAATGGTCCAGAGTGAGTGTGTTTTCCAGCCGTCGCTGCCTGATGTTCACAGCTCAAAGCTTAGGACTTGGGTTAGAGCCCAGGACTTGGCGGCCAAGATAAACTGGCTGCAAATACACTGCACATCTCATCCCAACTCCTGTCCATCCCTGAACAGGACACTTAGGATAGAGGATGTTCTCAGCAGTGCCATTTGCATCCCCCTTCATAGCCTTATAGGTATCATGTTATCCTCCTTAATCTTAGTTAAACATCACAGTCTAGACTGGAAGTCCCAAGTCAACAATTTGTTTTACAGGATTCTTCTTACTTGAATAGGCAGGTGGCTTTTTGTCCTTTCAAGGAGCTAGGTCTAAGAAGTGATAGTATTGAATCTCACACTCCGAAGCGCACCCAGGTTTAAAAGTTTGAAGTGGCCCCTACACACAAGGCCAGTGGGAGGGGCAACCCGGAGATCTGTCCTTGCAGAATGATGCCATGAAGAACATGGCCAACGGAACTCCATTGCTTCAAATCCTGACCTCTCCAGTTCTCCTGCTTTCTTGCCAGGAGGGAACTTGGGCTTCGGCATCAGACTGACTGGGGGTCAGTTCTTGTACTCAACTTCTTGTCTCTGTGATCTCTTGTAAGATGCTGCCTTGTCAAATGGAGAGAACATTGTCTTTGAGTTGTGAGGAGCCTGAAGTGAGATGGCATGTAAACGCCCAGCCCCCGGCAGGCCCTGAATACACAGTAGCCATTATTACCGTTAGAATTCGTATCACCAGCATGTACTCCACCTACTGATAGAGTTTTCTGGGTTTACTAAGTCAGGGCTCTCTTTGAGATCTCAGTCCGTCAGAGTCTGTTGGTATAAATGAGTCTTTCTGCTTTTGTACTTTATATAAAGGAGTTGTCTTTGCTTTTTTGATGCAGGTTTAGTGGAGATATTTCACAACCTGGATGGCAGCTTTTGAAATTAAGACGTTGTCCACTGCATCTTTCCATGATCCAGGCCTTGTCGTGTGTTCTCCTCCTTACAGCTTTTTAGCATGCAGATGGAGAGGAGATAACGTTAGCCCAAAGCCCCTCTGCAACCTCTTTTGTGCGGCTGAAACACAGCACAACCCATGCTCCCCCACTCCGCCCCCACAGCCTGTAGGTTTAGCAGAATCCCAGCCTCACATCCTCCCCGAACTTGGCAGTAAAAGCCCTGTTCTTCCATTCATTCCTATGATTTATATTCTCTCTGGGCGTCTTATATTAAACAGGGGAATTCCGACATGTTCCATAACACATTTACTGTAACTTGATACCATGAACTAAACTTGCTGTTATTTATCATTTCTTTTTATTTTCTCTCATTCCAGCATAAAGCCAAGGTAGAAGCAATGGCCCTGGACCTCGCTCTGCTCCGTAGCGTGCAGCGTTTTGCTGAAGCATTCAAGGCCAAGAATGTGTGAGTGTTCCAGTGGAGGGTTATAGATCATAATTTCTTGCTATTGTAATGTCTTTATCAGATGAACACAATTGGGAGAACGCAAAGCTGTTGTGTTGTCTTGGCGTCCAAACCGGAGGCTCATTTATATTGGCCCTGTTAAGGTGAACCATATTTTCTTGACTCACAGTCACCCTCATTATGAGATGTGTCATCAATCTAATAACGGCTTCCCAGATACAAAAGGAGAAGACGCTATTAAAGCACTAGTAAAAGTGGCTAATAAAAGCTTGGCAATTGTAAGATGCATCCTGATTATAAGATTTTTGCAGTGCGTTTCAGAATCGAGTAAGAGTATATTTTAATTCTATTCAGGACCAAGTAAACTCAGTTATCTAGTATGGCTGGGATGTTTACAATCCAAGCACCCAAAAGACCTCCAGTTTCTAAAACCTTCGGTGGTTTGATGTGGTACATGGACGTGATTCCAAAAAACGTGGACTCACATTCATTTATTTTTTTTTCATTCTTTTCAGTCTTTCAAAATTCCAGTTGGAGAAAGCCTTAGTTAGGGCCTAGCATATTTTGATGCTATCATATGCTAGCATCCCTTTCTAACAGAGAAGGTTGTAGCAGAGAGGGAGAGAAGCGGAAGCGGGTGGGGAGACAGAGAGACAGACAGGAGGCCTCAAACCCTGAAACCCTGAGGTAAGGAAAGCGATCATGGCAAGCTACAATAATTACAATACTTTATTTCCAAGTGTTTATTTTTACTCATATTTAGGGCAAGCAATCCTGGTTTCTCATTTAACATAGAGGTTTGAATTTCATTAATAAAGAACTTCATTTGTTTTTTTTTCAGTGACTTGATTCAAACATGAGGATTAAGTGAATAATAGCACAGGTGGTGCCAAGGATAAGATAATTACACAAGAGGCACCAGAGCCACTGAACGTGGAGAGCTCTCGTAAATGACAAGCTGCCTTTGGCTTTGCTAGGCTCTGTTGGGAACGTTAGTTCTGCAGTGTTCCAAGCAGATGAAGGATGTGAGGGAAGGGATCTTAAACCAGATATTCAAATGGCCCTGTGGGGAGCTGACCCCACGCTTTTGTCTAGTATCCAATCCTCTTTGCATCGCTCTGTCACCCAGGTTGGACACGATCTCGCCTCACTGCAACATCTCGCTCCGGGCTCAAGCGATTTTCCTGTCCCAGCCTCCTGAGTGGCTGGGACTACAGGTGCCTGCCACCATGGCCTGCTAATTTTTGTATTTTTAGTAGAGATAGGGTTTCACTATATTGGTCAGACTGGTCTTGAACTCCGGACCTCAGGTGATCCACCCGCCTCGACCTCCCAAAGTGCTGGGATTACAGACATGAGCCACCACGCCCAGCCACTCTACTTTATTAGACTTAAAAAGTTTGCTCTCAGCTGGGTCCAGTGTCTCATGCCTGTTATCCCAGCACTTTAGCAGACCAAGGTGGGAGGATCACGAGGTCAAGAGATCAAGAGCATCCTGGCCAACATGGTGAAACTCCTTCTGTACTAAAGATAAAACAAGTTAGCTGGGTGTAGTGGTGCACACCTTTAGTCCTAGCTACTTGGGAGGCTAAGGCAGGAGAATCGCTTGAACCTGGGAGTCAGAGGTTGCAGTGAGCCAACATGGCGCCACTGCATTCCAGCCTGGTGACACAGTGAGACTCTCTCTCAAAAAAAAAAGAAAAAAAAAAAAAAAGTTTGTATTCAGCCTGTTGTGGTGGCTTACGCCTGTAATCTTAGCATTTTGAGAGGCCGAGGTGGGTGGATCACCTGAGGTCAGGAGTTCGAGACCAGCCTAGGCAACATGATGAAACCCCATCTCTACTAAAAATACAAAATTAGCCGGGCGTGGAGGCACATGCTTATAATGCCAGCTACTCGGGAGGCTGAGGCAGGAGAATTGCTTGAACCCAGGAGGTGGAGGTTGTAGTGAGCCGAGGTTGAACCATGCTGTCTAGCCTGGGTGACAAGAGCAAATTCTGTTTCAAAAAAAAAAAGTTGACTCCCTAAGGCTCTTGCTGGAGTTAGCAACTGTCCCAAGTCCTTGAGGTCTACATTAGAGTCAGAGTCTTAGTGAGAGTTGCAACATCCCCTAAGTGCAGACCCCAAGGTGTCTTCTAGTAAGAGTGAAATGACATCCCCCAGCCAGCCAGATCTGAGAGAGCCTTCCTGTTTGTGTCCTTTGCAGTGCTTGGCTGTTAGCAGCTGCCACCCCTTGCCAGAACTATCAAGAGGCACCTCAGCAGGCTGTAATACTAGCATTCAAGACATTTGTTCTCTGATTGCTTCATCATTCATTTATCCACCTGCTCCTTCACTTCACACACATTTGAGGAGCACCTCTAAAGCCCCAGGCATTCTTCTGGGCTCTGGGAAGAGAGTGGTGGTCCTGGAAGCCACAGTAACCCCACACAAGCTATCACCTCAGTTGTCAGCTATGATGGACGGCTGACTCCTCAAACTCATCTGTCTGTGGTGGTTTGGGAGGGAATGATGATGACAAGAACAGCAGAGGTAGCAGCTCATTTACTGAGGGCTGATGATGAGCCATACATGGAAAATACTTTGCATGTATGTTGTGATTCAGTTCTCAAAGCAATCCTTGGGAGTAGATGCTATTAATATCTCTACTACACAGATAAGGAAAGTGAGGCTAGAGAGGATATATAATTTATCCAAGGCATGTGGGATGTAGTTAGAGGGGATGATTTAGCCTCTCCAGGGCTCCAACTTGACCACCATATTGTACTGTCTTTCATTTTATTTTTTATTTATATTTTGAGACAGGGTCTTGCTCTGTTGCCCAGGCTGAAGTGCACTGGTGCAATCTCTGTTCACTGCAACCTCTGGCCCCCGGGTTCAAGCGATTCTCATGCCTCATCCTCCAGAGTAGCTGGGATTACAGGTGCATGCCACCACAAACAGCTAATTTTTGTATTTTCTGTAGAGATGAGGTTTCACCTTGTTGGCCTGGCTAGTCAACTCCTGACGTCAAGTGGTCCATCTGCCTCGGCCTCCCAAACTGCTGGAATTACAGGCGTGAGCCACGGTGCCCGGCCCTGTCTTTCATTTTAAATGCGATAGAAATAGACCCAGAGAGTGTGAGGGTCTTTTGCAGGGTCACTTTGCATGCTAGGTGACAGGCATGGTATTTCACTCCAGTCTGCCTCTTGTTCTTTCCCTGATAGCATGCGAGATCTCACATTCACTGCCACTGAATGACTTGCTCCAGTTCCTCTGTCACAACGTGTTGGAAGCGAGCAGCTTTGCTGAAGTGAGCCAACTGTTACATAATAGGATCGTCTTCCACGTCTCAACTGGACCATTAGGTTTTAACCATTAAGTAGTTGGGAAATCATCAAGTTGAAGTGCCTTTTGTAATCAGCCACCTCAAAATCTTGGAGGAAACTCTCACCCATTTTTGCCCTAATCCCAGATTTTAGCACAGGACTTTCAGTTTTTAGAAAATACTTCTAGGTTGAGAAACAAGGGTGATTTTCCATTTAGAGACCTCTGTAGCACAAACCTCTTTGTATCTGTCCCACGAGAGTACAGGATTTTACATGGCTTGGAGAAATATAGTGGTGGTGAAAATATGCATAGAGAAAGCGAGAGATTTTACTTTTGAAATGCTGCCAAAGTGAAATCTCTCATGGACAGGCAGATGACAGTTTAGTACTTGCAGGTCTTTCGATTCTGAGAACTGTCAGAAGTGAATTTAAGTGCTGGTGACTAGGCTGCCAAAGAAACACATGTAACTCTATTCTTATCACCCCCCATCTTCAGACATTAAAATTTCCTTGTGTGTAAAACATAATCACAAATGAAAGAAAGGCTGCCAGTTCAGAACCAATCTCTTTTCGCGCCGTTGCATTGTGGAGAGGAAAAAAAAAAAACCCTTAAATTTAAATTCCATGTGGGTGCTCTTATTTAATATACCGTTTCAAAGCCTGTATGCGATCACACCAGAGAATTATCAGGCTCTGAGTTCCTGTGTGTACTCCCTCGGTCCATGCTCCAGCTCAAGTGTTTCTCCACACTGGGATAGGCAGCATATTGTGTAGTCTTAGAGCAGAAAAGGTAGAAACAGATGCTTCGTACAAACACGGGTGAGAAGAGTGGCTCATTGTACTGTGGAACCATCCTCCATCTGCCTTCTGCAGGAGATGGGGATCAGCCTGTTCCTAGATATCTTCTTTTTATTCTGGGTGCTGGGAGGAGAGGGTGCAAAGGAGGCTATTGTAGAGGGAGCCCTCCTAACCATAACCATGATTGTGTAAACAATAGCTGCTAGCCAATTTGTTAGTTTTGTGCAAGGCAATGTACTAAGCTCTTATATACATGTATTCTGTCTTTAATTTGTTGTAAGAATTCTGGATGCTTAACCATGATTATCCCTACTTTACAAATTACAAGGTTGCAGTGCAGAGAGCCCAAGACACTTTGTCAACTTGAACAAGTAGAAGATCCAGAATTTGAACCCAAATCTGTCTGAATGCAAAATGACTTTTTGTTACTTCTCACACTTCAGTCATAGAATTTTCAGTGTGGGTTTCTGTATTGGTTATGTATTACTGTGTAAGAAATTACTCCGGCTGGGCACGGTGGCTCACCTGTGTAATCCCAACACTTGGGGAGACTGCGGCGGGTGGATCGCTTGAGGCCAGGAGTTCGAGACCGACCTGGCCAACATGGGTGAAACCCCACCTGTACTAAAAACACAAAAATTAGCCGGGCATGGTGATGCATACCTGAAGTCCCAGCTACTGAGGCACGGGGATTGGATGAACTCTGGGGTGGGCAGAGGTTGCAGTGAACCGAGATCGTGCCACTGTCCTCTAGCCTGGGGGACAGAGTGAGACTCTGTCTCAAATGGCTCCAAAATTTAGTGGCTAAAAAACAATGTAAAACAAATATTTCTATTGTCCCTCCTCTTTTCCTGCCTCCGTCTTTCTCTTAGTTTAGTTTGTTTGAATCAGGAT